TTTTACTCAATATTTATTTTTGTTTGTAACTCAAGTTTATTTTTTCTGCGGCAATTTTTAATGAACCTTTAAATGACCTTAAAGTCTGTTAAACTGTATCTCAATTTATTAAATAAACAATCAATATCCAAATGAACATTAGATTTCGCGTTGTTAATTTAACACAGAGCAAAATAAACTAATAATAAAATATTCATATCTTTGGCAATTTAATAAATTTTAAATCAATTACAAAAATGCCAAATACATACAATACAATACTGAAAGATTACTGAATACACTTTGGATTTATTCCTGAATATTAATTAATCTGTCAGTAATAAAAAGAATTACTTTTGCTACCTTTTAGTACCTCATGAAAAAAGCATTTGAATATTAAATATTTTCTACTGATCGTGAAAAAGGTATATCTTATCTCATAAATAAAGCGAAAATTTTCTAAATTCGTTAGATACATCTATTTATTTTTTAACAATAGCTATATCTACTTATACAGACAGCTGCTTACTGTATGATTACGAGCTCAAAAAAAATATTATACAGTTGCACTAAAAATAGATTTTATTTTATAGAATAGTTACTAATTATTAGTGTTTAAAAAATAGTGGCTTTATAGAATACAAGCATTTTATAAAACGCAGATCATTTATGAAAAAGGATTTAAAAAAAACAACTGAAAAAAGACCTTCAAAATTTTTAATCTGTCCTGTTGAGGGAAGAATGGGATAGATTAAATATCGTGAAGTTCTCAAGGAAGTTGTGTGGTTTTAGTCAATTGTTTTAAGTCCTTTTTCATAAATTCCTTGCATTTTATAAAATGATTATTTCTGTTGTATACTTATGACATATGCAGTTCATTTTTTAAAAATTGAAGACATCAAAGATTTTTTTAATATTTTATATGACTTGTGTTAGAAAAGGTAATTTCTTTTAGCTTAGAATTGCTGTCTATGCTTGAGGCATAATTAATGCTTAATTACCAAAACTTATACTATGAAAGGAATCAATTAAATGTATTATCCCTTAATTAAGTAACCAATTAACTAACATAATTTTGTTATCAGACACAAAACAATTTTGTGTTTTCGAATAAATCGTTGTTATAACTTTTCCTTCAGAAGTATTCCCTATTTTTATATATTAAAAATTGTATCGTATATTTTACCTTTGGTAGTGGTTGAAAAAATTTATTGTAAAGTTCACCAAATCATGCAGGAATAACGCCGACAAATAAAAATGTAATTTGTATGTTTGGTGAACATTTTGCCTTACTTGTATTAAGCAACTGATTTTTTTAAATTTTAACATATTTAAAAATCAAGGCATTGAATCCTGATTCCATCCAGCAATAATTAATTTATGCAAAACAAGGATGTAAAAGAAAAAAATTCATGCAAAAAAAGTGCGACGTCTGCTAAATATAATTAAGATTACCATCATGACGCATTTTTTTAGGCAAAGTCAAGTGGGACTTATAGATTTGTAAGCTTACAAATATAAAAGATATTTAATAACATTTTTTGTAACATTTTGCGTCAAAAGATTTACATTTTGATTAAGTCAAGAAATGTGACAATTTTATTTTATAAATAAAATTCCAAAA